AAGCAATCATTAGCCAAATATACTATCAATAAAATTCTGGGTCGCAAGTACTCACCTTAATATTTAAAAAAAAAAAAAAAACTAAATACCAATCTTACTAAACAGAAATATTTAATTAGAATTAGACTAATAAATACTAATCTAAAGTTTTTATTAATATAAAAAATATATTTTATTCTTATAACTAGTTATTATTAAAAAAATTTTATATATTATTAAACAATTATCTAACAATAAAGCATACAAACTTTTTTTAATAAGTTATAAAATACCAAAACATAATAGCTCTTACATATTACAAGCAATTACTTATTTATTTAACAAATACCTTAATATAAACAATATATCTAAATAATAAAAAAATAGTAAAATATATCTAATTTTAAAAAAACCAAACTTTAATAAAAATTTTAACAATATATTGTTACAAGATTGCAATCTTATTAATACAATATAACTAAATAACAAGATCACTTAATACAGTAATTAACTATTGCAAATATATATATAATAAAGATATAGTAGTTTACTTTATTATATAATAGTAAACAAATAGTTCAAAATAGTAACAGTATATAGATTAACTTTTTATTAACAACACACATAATAACAATCTTGTCTGTAGAAATTATTCTAAAAAAAAATATTACACTTTATAATTAAAAGGTTATTTTTTTTTTTTAATATTAATAGTGAGGCCATGCCTTTATATTTATTGAATATTTAATTGAGATTTTACATAAAGTACAATTCTGCTTTTAAAATATTATAAAAAGAATAGAAGCTCAAACTAATTTATCTGTGACCTAAACCAACCAGAGTGGCCAAGGCTCACCTAGATTTGAGTATTAGTAATTATGTATAAGGGATTAGTTTAATATTTAATTTATTGGATATATCAGAAGTTTATTTTTGAACTAATAGAATTGAGTAGGAAGAAATATAATAAAAGTGAGACAGCATTTGAAGGTGTGTTATATTCGGGAGTTTGAGCTGTAAATCTTAAGATACAATATAGGATCCAGATTTTGTGATAAATTTGTTGATTAAGATGAAGTAAAAACTTGTTAACAAGTGTTGTAGCTACTTTTTTGGATAACAGATTTGCAATAATGTCAATAAGTTTATTTGGTATTAGACCTGTTAGAGTTGAAAAGATTGAAGGTAAATCTGGTATGCTGTGAATAGTCATACTACTCAACAGCTTAATTTGGTTATATAGGTTGGTTATAGTATTTAAAGTAGTGTCAAGTGTTTTAGTATTTAAAGTATGTTGTAATGAAATATCTATAAGGCTATATAGCAATCGATTAGATGGACAGGTTGTCCAGTAGAGATGAGAGCTGATTTAATAACATTGGTGACAAGTAGATGAGTGTGAGTGATATTGTTTGTGTAAAATATGTGAAGTAGAAAGATCATCTAATAGAATTTTGATTTGAAAAGATTTAAGAATAGAGGACTAAAAGCTGTGTGAGAAGCTTGAGATTTTTTGATTATTGTTAATATATAGCCAGGTAGCTTGCTAATTAACTTGGTTAAGAATTTTGTACCATTTTTGAAAGTGGTTTTGTGTAATCCATAATACATAAATATGTGTATAACATATTGTACAGATACTGTGGCAAATAGGTAATTCTAAGGAGATAATTAAAAGGTTATTATATTTAGATTGAAATATAAAAACTTAAAATTAGGTAGAAAAAGAAAAAAATACTTTTTATATATTTTTTTACCTAATAAGAGTAGTAAAAATTTGTGCAGTAGTAAGTAAAATTTATATAAGAATAGTTGGAACAATGTTTATAAATAGTTGTTATTTGTACTTAAAATACTTAGAATATATTTTAAGATACTTAAGCCTGTGCTAAAACACTTGGAATTGTACAAAGACACTTAGAAATTATATAAAGACAGTTAAGAATTGTGTAAAAAGTACTTAAAATTTTTGTACTGTAATATTTAGTACAGTAATTTTATACTAGAATATATAAAACTGATGTAAGAGTACTTGGATTTATATAACAATAATGATATTACAGATGTTATTTAATGTTATATAGTTGTATTACAATTTCAATAGCCAATTAAGATTCTTTTACTTATCTACTATATATTATAATATAACTATGCTAATAACTAATAATAAATATAATATAATATACAATAATAAATATATAATAACTACTAATAATATAATTTATTATATTATTTCTTAATCTATAGATTATTTTTAGGCAAATTTGTCTAGAAAATTTTAGTGTATTTTAAATTAAAAACTAATATTTGAAAATTAAATATATAAATTCAGATTTAAGTATAATTAAATTAAAAGCTATAAATAAACAAAGTTTATGCTTTTATTAAATTGAACTTATAATAATTGCATATAAATCATATGAATTACTTGTTATATTTAATATAAATAATATTTTTAAAGGTTGATGTATACTATTTGTCATGTCAGTTTATTTATATAATAAGTCTAATACTTACAAATTTTATTTGGTTATACTCATTTAACTAACTAATTAAAATAAACAATATTAAAATCTAAATTTAATTTAAAGAGATCTAGGTTTATTATGAAGCCAAAAATTAGATTGCTATAAAGGCAGAAGAATGAAATTGTTAAAATTTTAAATTTGTATGATTATCATGAATAAATTTTTTATTGGTTACTGTAATGCAAGCTGCTTGTAAAATTCATTCTATCTTTATTGTTATTACATGTCACAGGATTACAATTCAATTAATAATAATAAAAATAATGATTACTAAACAAATTTTCCAAATTTCAAAAATTTGTATTGTAGTACTTTAAATTGACTTTTTACAATATATTATGCATGTTGTAAGGTTGGCAACTAAGCTAATTTAAATTATCAGAATTTCTGCTCAAGCCAATTTAAGACTTTTTTATTTAAGCATGATTAAATTTTTACAGTTCTATTTTTCTTTTGACTTTATAAGACTATTTAATGTTTAATATAACTTACTGCTTGGGCATAATTTAAGACATGAATTTAAAAGCTAAAATTTAAAGTTTTAATTAGCTTTATTTTACTTAAAATACTGTTTGCTTAGTTACTTTTTTTTTATATTAATTTTTTTTTTTTAACATTAAAAAATATTTAAAAAATTTTTTTTTGTTACTTATACCACTAGGTGAAGTTAATAGTACAAAATTATTTATTCAATATATAAACAAATTGGAATTTTTAATCATTATAATAAAATAAAAAGATATACTGCTTACTCATATGAACCTAATAATTTATTTTAGTTTATTTTTAGAATGTAATTCTCTAAAGCAATGCAGCTTTGCTTTAGAAGAACATAGTGAAACCTTGCATTTAATACACCATAACTGGCTTTGTGATAGATTATCATAGTTTATTGCTTTTTCACTATATTGTGATAAATAAAAACAATAAACACAAACATTTCTTTTTTCTCTTTATTTGACTAAATAGTTATTATCTAATAGGCAGGTTAAAAGAAGTTTGAAAGTTTTATTTATGACTATTTATTTTTTCTTTAAAGAAGCCTAAAGATTTTCAGGTTCTTTTTTTTTTATTACTTAAAGTATCTTTGATAAATTCCAAACTAAATTAATTCTAAAATCTTTACTTAAGATGTTTAAATCAGTTACTTTATGATAAAGAATTATACAATTTACAAGAACAGTATCAAATTCAAAAAAATAAAAGAAGTCATATGTGTCTAACTGTTAATTGACAGTTGTAATATTCATAAAGTTGATCTGTAATATCAATGCCACCTATATAATAGTTATAGTTATCTATTATTTACAAAATCTCTAATTCTTTTCAATTTTCATTTTCAAAAACTTGATAAACTATATTTGAATTAGAACTTGTTTTATGTAGTTGCTATCAGTTATGAACAATCTTTTAATTTTTACCTAAAATTTTATAAACAGTAGTTAACATAGTCATCAGGCCATTATTTATCTGAAGAATAGCTAAAACATTATTAACAACTATTTCTAGTAGTATGTTCTAATCCAAAAGTATTTCTTTATTGATTTTTAATTCTTTAGAAAATTCAGCTAAATTTATACAAATAGTACCACAAGCACCAATACTTTTGTCTTGTAAATATTTAAAAAGCAGTATGCTGGAAAAATAGTTATTCATATATATGTAATACATTTTATTATTAGAAAGCATATAGGTCAAATGTGCTACCAAACATTCAATATTATTAAGACCAAGAACCAACTCTACTAAATTATTTTTTTCAACTCATGAAGTAAAAACAAATGCCTATATATAATCATAATTACAAAGTGAAATAATTTTATATTCTTCAGAAGTTAGTTTATTTTTCATTTGTACTGTATGAATACTTTGTTCAGAAAAATGCATAATCATTTCATTGATAAACACATTTGAACTAAATATATAAAATTTTTTAATAACACTTTGAATATGTGATGCAAATAGCTTTACTTTTAAGTACCAATGTAGGTGAAGTTGATCTGAAGCTAAAACATGAAAAAATCTTTTAATTTGTTCAAACCTAAATAAAAACATGAAACTTTTAATCTCATAGTTTGCTTTTTTTTTATCCTAATTTCATAAGTCTTTCATTATATTAACCTTATAAACCCTCATATAAATAATTAGCCCAAGTCAAGTTTTCAATTTGCTTAAAGTTAACAGATTCCAAATACAGCCATCTTCTCTACTCTTTACTTGCTTATACAAATTAGTGTTTTTGATCATGTTTAATTGTTCATTTATAAAAAATAATTAAAAAGTACAAGTGAAGTTATAATGCTGAGTTGATATTTATATGAAAGTGTTGCATATCTTTTATAAAGTGGATAATAATTTAGAATAGAATTAAAAACAGGTAATTCTAAAGTTTGTAATGCTGAATTTAAATGACTATTTTGTACTTTATTAATTTCTTCTTCTTGACTTTTTTTCTTTTTTTTTTCTCTACCTTTTCTTCTATCTTTTTTTTTTATTTCTTCTTCTACTTTTTTTTACAATACTAACACCCCTATTTGTATTTGCTTCTAATTTATTTTCATGTTCTAGCTCTTTATTTGCTATTTCATCAGTGACTATAAGTTTATGATCGATTATCAGCTTATTATAATAATCATGATCAAAAGTAATTAAGTATTGCAAATCAGAATTATCAGCAAAGATTGTATTATCAATAGACATAATTTTATTTATTTTTTTATAAAAATAAACAATATTATAATAAATATTTTTAAAAAAAAGAAAATAATATATTACTTTTTTTTGTTTTTTGCAAAAAATAGAATAATACTACAAAAATGCTTTTGAAAAAGAAGGAATGGTATTTTTAATTTTTTTTTTAGTTTGGTATTGTAATAACCTTAAATAAAAGAAAGATTGGTTCAACCTGATTTTTTTTAAGAATTACTACTGCACAAGTTCAGTAGATGTATTATGTAGAAAAAAACAATGTAAAGGATGAAAAGAGAGGTTGTTAATTATTTTAAAAGCTAAAACATATACAAAACATAGCTACTATCTGTGATGACATGCATAGGTACAATTTCTTTAGATTATTTATTTGATTTCTACAAAATGATTAAGGTTTTGCAACTAGTGCTTGTAGTTAACACATTTGGAAACAATGAAATATAAAAAAGTATGTAGCATATATTTATATATTCTTTGTTCTTAAATAAGTCAACTAACAATACTATCTGCAATTGCTAGCATGGCACTATAAAAATTTAAGTGTCAAGACAAATACATGACTGTTTTAATGATGCACTTGAAAAAACAATAAAGATGATTGTTCAGTGATTTTAAACAGAAAAATAGAGTGTCCAAAATTCTGTTGCTCTAATTAACAAATTTTGCTATGATTATCATTAATGTTGCAGATTCTGCATTGAAGTATAAATAATACAATCAAATCAAAAAAATTAAACAAATAATATTTTAAATTTATTATAATATTTATATTTGCCAATAATTAATTGCAAGCTAAAATATAGTTTTGTAAGAATTCTTTGCCTACTAATTATTTAATAGAAAATTTTGTAGATTTTGCTTTAAAAGATTTTCTGCTTTTCTGCTTAGACAGACAGAATAGTGCTAAAAGCAGAATTTCATACAGCTTCTGCCACTGCAGATGTCTAAACACTTTACAGAAAAACAAGAAAATATTTATTTATTTTAAAAAAAAGCTTAAAATAATAGGCTGTATTTCTAAAAATGAATAAGTAATACTGATTGTAAGAAAACTGCAATACACTGAATATTATCTTACAAAAATAAATAAATAAATAAATAAAAAGAACAAAAAGAAAAGGACAAAATCTAATTAGATTGTATAAGTAAAATATATCTAAATTTAGGTTTGTTGATTATAATAATTTCAAAATTTAAAAAATCATGTTATATTATATTCTAGGCAAATTTGCCTGAAAATTTTATTGTTAAATGACAATGCAGATTCTTTCGATTTAAGAAAATCATGTGTTTGAAAGGCATTTACTTAATCGAATTGGGTGCTACAAAAAAAATTATTCTATAATTAAATTTTTTAGACAAATTTGCCTAAAATATAGATTAAGAGATACAAAAAATCTATTTTGTAACAATATATCTTATTAGTCTAATAAAATATACTAAAAAAATATATACAAAAATTCTAACTTACAGACTTTTATCTATTCTTTTTTTTTTTTAAACATTAAGATAAGTACATATGATCTAGAATTTTATTAATAGTATATATTGATTAATATCTGTTAATATAATAGATATAAAAGCAATTATAAAAAGAGTTTACAACTAGGTATTTGTACAACTTTAGTTATTGTCTAATTTAAGTATTTTACTCAAAAGTTCTATACTAGTTGTTATACTTAGAACTTACTTGTAGATTCTCTATTTAAATACTCTAGATTTTTTATAAACTAGTAAAGATATACTATAATTACTAAGTCATATTTAACTTTGTACTAAAACCTATCAGAGCCTTCTGTATCTTATACTTATAGTTGATTTAATATTATTTTTGATCTAAACTATTACTTGCAGTCAGAACTAACTATTAAATTGCTATAACCTTATAAGGTTTACTCAAAATTCTAATACTTATCATTTTAATATCTTTTCTATCATCTTTTACTAACTATTACTTAGAATTAACAGAATTTTTTAAACTTCTAATTCAAATAGTCCAATATATTTTAGTATTCTTTTCTTTAAGTAATTTTAGCAGCCTAATTGGTCATATGCTTCTTTATGCTCTTGTTATTTAGTTTATCTATCTATCACTTTAAAAGTGTTTTTTGAGCTTTAATCAGTTTAACCTTATTGTTAAAAGTTTTGTACTACCTTTTTACTCAGAATTTCTAAGTAAGTTTCTGATTCTTTATTTTTTTAATTTTTGCACTTGGTGGTTTTATTGTAGGTTTGTATTAGAGTCTTATACAATATTTTTTTTTTTGGTATTAAGGTAACCTCTTTGGTCTTTTGACTTTTATTAATCACTTATCAGTATTGTGGTTC